TCTCAGGCAATTTGCACCAGAGGGTCCCAAACTTTCTTGGTTCACAGCGTCCTGAGTCCAAAAGAAATAATAAGTTTTGTTTATCAAGTATTTAGGTTCATACTACTTAATAAGTGTTTCCATCGTAGTAACATAGAGTAACTGCTTGAAAAACATGATATTTTTTTCAACAGAAAAAATATATATATGTATGTATATTTTAACCATAATTGCTTACTAATGGGATGTGTGTCCTGTTGGCAAATGCATGGTTTCTGAAACCTTGGATTCAAATTGGACATTGCCACCCCCATTTTCTGTTGCATATTGATTTCCACACTTGGTTTTCTCACAGCAACTATGGAAAACTCAGCTCACAAAGATGTGATGTCATTGAAAGAAATCCAGTGTTGAAACCATAGGCTACCATGGGATGGTAGATTCACATGTCCAAGAGATGTCAAGCATTGCTATGTTTCCCTCAAAAACTCACAATATTCTGCCTTACCCTTGTGAGTTCACTGGTGTCCCAGCACACAGCCTGTAAACTGCAGATTTGTGTTAATATAATTCACTGAAGGCCTGTGTACAGACCAGAATGCCAGAGCTAGATCACCATGGGGGGGCACTGTATTCAGCCCCTGATCTCCTTGTCCAGCCGTCTCATCCCTGGGAGGCTGGGTTAGCAACCCATTGTGCTTGGCTTGGCAAGCAGCAGAACAGTGAGGTGGACTCCAGACAGCCCGTCTGGTCTGCACACTGATGAGGCTTGAGATTTCAGCTGCTTCCCAGCAAGAACTCCTTCCTGGGCCTGGCCTGCTCCCAGCTCCAGCCCTCTCCCCCAGAGATAGCTTTAGGAAATGAGGTATGGAGGGTGTCGTGAGCTTTGGAAAGAGAAGGACTGGGAACCCTGGAGGGTACCAGCCCTCACTGTTGTGGGAGAGACACAAGTGTCGTCTATTTAACAAACCCTTCCCTGGGTCTTTCTGTGTGCCACACACTGTTCTAAGAGGTTTGCAAATAGGAGGTCATTCAGTCCTCAGCACAACCCCATGACATCGATCTATTGTTACCCCCACTTTACAGAAGAAGAAACTGAGGCACGGGACAGGAGGTTAAATATATGTTGCCTAAAGGTTCATGGAGCTGGGAAGTGGTAGAACTGGGATTTGAACCCAGGCTGTTCACACTCTTACCTGGACTTTTCCCTTAGGGGGTTAGAAAACCCCAGCAATCTTTCCCACTGTGCTGCTTTCTAGCAATGTGCTGGGGCCAGGTGCTGAACCACTCTAAGATTCTGTTTTTCCCCCCGTGAAACAGCCCAGTAAACTTCTCCCTGGGGTCATTAAATGGCTTCCAGGAGATTAGGCATGTAAAGTGCTTTCTATTATCCAGGGTGGTAGCACAGAAAGCCTTCAGGGCTGCCTGGCTAGGGAATCCGAGGCACTCCTCCCCATGGACCTACATGAACCTGGAAGACAGCAGGGGGCAGCACCGGGCCGCTGCAGAGGGTTCTGCACCTGGAGGCGCCAGCCCTTCATTCAGCAGGGATCCTGCATCTCAGTGCCTGGCAATATGCCGCTCCTCCATTCAGGCAGAACGTTCGAGGTGGCTTTGCCAAAGCAAGAACAAAATCACAGCCTGAGAGGATGAATTAAGGGGGAAACCAAGGAAGCAAGCTCAGCATAACCGTTCTGTTAGCTCAGAACCTGCCTTGCACACCTGGGCCCTCTGAAGCGGTTCGTTTCAGTTGTTGTCTTAAGATATTTCTGAAGGCACTTCCTGATGCATGAAGGCCCCTCCCACATCCCACCACCAGCATTGCAGGTGGAGGTTTACCTTGAGGTCTATGTGAGGAGGAGTGACGTAGAAAAGTGACTAGAGGTTGCACCTGAGGAGGAAGATGCTGTTTATACCAAAATACATGGGCACAGTGTCTTTGGTGTTTGGCATGGGGTCCTATCAACTCTGTCCTGTTCCTTTTTTGGGTTATCTTTGTTCAGCTGAAACCCAGATGAGAACAGGACCTTGAAAAAGCCACAATCCAAACTCTGGAAACCCACACCCTCTCATAGAGGAATTTGGTGGAGAGGCTGCCTCAGGGTGTGGTGTCTGCACCGCAGGCCACTGCTGTTCCCTGTTCAAGCTACCAGCCCCGCTCACTGGCCCGTCTGGGCCCTGTGGGGCTCCTGTGGACAGCTGAGGCCAGCAGCTTGAGGGACGCCCCTCCTTCTCTGCAAGAGGGCAGAAGGCCTGGGACCCCAGCTGTGCTATGATGTCTGGCCAGTCCTCACTTTCAAGTCTACTGTCTGTCTTTCAAGTCTACTTTCCCCAAGCATGGGGGTAACAGCACAGTCTATATGCAACATCTTCAGCTTGTTGGGTTGTTTCTGTTTTTCCAAGGATTCTGAAGGCTTGGTCCTTTGACCTATTAAGTATTAATAATAATTCTCATTATTCAGTCTGTAGGGCATGGATCAGTGACGAATGCATTGCTTGGGGGGTTTATTTAAAGGGAAGAAGGCCTATGATTGTGGGTGATGGGGGAGGTGCCGGGAGTCACAGCAGATGGTGAATCAGAAGGGTAGGCACAGCACCCTTGGCAAGAGAATTGTATTCCTGTGCTCTGTGTCCCGTTCTTTTGGGAAGGCCTGAGCAGTGAGTTTGTTTGCTGAGCCGTCTCTAGAGTGCCCATAACTCTGACTGATGGATTACCACAGCCTGCAGCCTGGATGGGAGGATATGACTGGCTTCAGGACTTTGCAGGAATCTCTCGGGTTTAGCGTGGGTGCCGCTCCTGAGTTGGACAACTGCTCTCCATGCCCCCTACTTCCTGCTGCTTTCTCAGATCCTCTTCCTGCTGCTCTGCTCCCTAACCACAACCCCACTAAATAAAGCCCCCTAATTCTAGTCCATCCCCGAAAGATCTTTTCCAGTAACATCCCCTGCCCCCAACTTTGTGTGCTTGGTTATCTTAACCAAAGTTATGACAAACCAGAGATAATGTGCTAATCATGTGAACGTCACTCCTCTCCAAAGTGATACATTTTCATTTTTTAAAATGCAGCTGTTGGCCGTGGAATGACTATTTAGAAACAGTGGAACTTCTACATTTCTTCGTATCCAAGTAGGATTTTGCTGAGGGTGGACTCAGCCCTGTTTCTGTGATATAAAACATATTTTCTTCATTCTTTCCTTCATCAAACATCTCCTAAGTGACTGCTTCAGGGTTCTGGGTTCCTGTCTATAAATGTGTGTTAGTTCGTTCTTGCCTTGCTATAAAGAAATACCTGAGGCTGGGTAATTTATAAAGAAAGGAGATTCCAGTGGCTTGGGGTTTTGCAGACAGTACTGGAAGCATGGCGTTGGCATCTGCTCATGGTGAAGGTCTCCGGAGGCTTCCAGTCATGGCAGGAGGCAAAGGGAGAGCAGGCGCATTACATGGCAAGAGCCAGAGCAAGAGGGAGAAGGGGAGGTCCCAGACTCCTTTAAACAATCAGATCTTGTGTGAACTGAGTGAGAGCACACTCATCACCAAGGGGGCGGTGCTGAACCATTCATGAGTCCCATGATCTAATACCTCCCACTAGGCCCTACCTCCAACATTATGGATTACACTTCAACATGAGATTTGGAGGAGACAAACATGCAAACTATATCACGTGGCTTCCTTTGCCCAGTATTTAAAACCATTTGCTTTCCCCTGTGTAGTTTAAGTTGTTTTTCCCCACCCTAAGTCAGTGAATGAGTTCAGAGGAGGGAAAGCTTCAAGTCAGCGAGGCCAGGATTTTTTACTGTTCGGTTCAGCACCGAATCCCCAGCCCTGAGAATAGTCCTTGGCACATAGAAGGAGCTCAGGAAAACTAGACTGAATGGATGAATATGTGATTGGTTCCACGACGACATCACCAAGAGAATTTAGGGTGAGTTGATCTACCCCTATGAACAGACTAGGCTGGAGAGCTACCCTCCACTGGGCTTAGGTTCCCTGCTGTGAAATTCATCTCTCACCCTGCTCTTCAGGTGCTTGTGTGGCCTGTTAGCACCCACCTTGGAGCTGCCTGGGTTGGAATTACCCATGCACTGACTGTCCTCATCAGATGGCCAGCTTCTAAAGGGAAGAGCCATTTTCTTGACTCTTATTTTTGCCTCCAGGGCCTGGAGAACTGTCGGTGCTCAAGAAATGTCTACCCAATTGAAATTTAAATAGATATAGCCTGTGGGTTTGAGTTTGGGATCAGTAATTTTCCCAGAAGGTCCTAAAATTTCTGTGTAAAATACCAGGTATTGTGTCCATCAGATACTTAAGCACTACCCAGAACTTGCCATCTTCTCAGGTCCTGCAGAAACACTTAATTCCTGAACAGCTGGTATAGCCACAACAACAATGGAAACAGATAATGACTTCAAAACGTGGAGAGAAATTGAAGAAATGAAATTAATAAATATGTAATTAAATGTTAGATATTTACCATTGTGGGAACTTTGCTATTTGCTAAATTTCAGAGTCATGAACATTTTATTATATTTGAAAATAATTTGTGGTGTAGATTATCCTCACTTCACAAAAAATTCCTGAGTTTGCACAATGGGTGTCAAGGGATCTTAGCCAACCATAGAATAAATGAGTTACATAAAGCCAAATAAATGTAAAAGCAAAATTATAAAAGTCTTTTCAAACGTGTGGATTGCAGAAAAAATATTTAATGATAGATGCAGATATATTTTAATATGTCTGATGTGGGGTGAAGTCCTCTAAAAGAAAAGGACACAAATTTCAAAGCAACCTACCAAAATACTATAGAATTGTAGCATAATATACAGTGCTTTCATAGAGTTTCCAAAAATTATAAATTCAGGCTTTCCCCTCTAGGATTTTTAGAATAATTCCTAATGTCATTTGTAAAAGCAGACATCTCATCTCATCAATGAAAAATAATATCCTTGACCTTTGGTGATTTTGCTCATTGAATAGCCTCTGTTTTGTAATCTCTTTTTTTTTTTTTATCATCTTCTTTCAGGAATCCTGTTCACGATGCTGGTATTTGGACCAGCCTGCGGGTTTATCCTGGGCTCTTTCTGTACCAAAATCTACGTGGATGCAGTCTTCATTGACACAAGTAAGGAATATATCTTGATGTCTACCTTCCACCCACAAGCATTTCCTCCCTCATAAATACGGCTTCAGCCTGTGGGTTCTAAAACCTTCTTGCTCAGAAACAGTCTTGATGCCCCTGCCTCTGTAGCTGGGGCTCACCCGAGATTAGTTGAAAGAATGTAAGTGTTGGTTCAGAGGGCCTGACTCAAGTCTGGGTTCTGCCATCATCTACCTAGAGGCTGAATAACCTCCATTAGCTGATTTTACTCCTCAAATCTGTATTTTCCTTATCTGTAAATAAAGGGTAACAATAATTATATCTGGCTGGCAGATAAGAATTTAATGAGAGTGTCTGTGTAGAAATGCTTGGCATATGCTCATCGAGTGGTGGCCCATTAACCTATGTGAGGATCCTACTTTCCAAACTAAGAGTTGGAGCATGTGTTCTGGAAGTGCAAGTGTACGAACGGGGTAAGTGAGACAGAATATTGGAAAATGCTTTTGGAAGACACTGTTGTGGTGGCCTTTGTGAGGAAATATCCACATTCAAAACCATTTTAATCAGAACTTGTGTTCTTAGCAGGAAGTGCAAGTCTCAGAAGACCCTGAGTTCCCCAATCCACGATTGTGGGATTGAATGGGATGCGAGATCGATGGGCTAGACTGTGCTGTGGTGACAGACGGTCCCAAAACCTCAGTGATTTTATACAACTGAGGTTTATTTCTTGGTCACACTACGTGTGCAGGGTAGGTCGGCCGTGTCGGGGTCAGGGAGATTTGGCTCATCATGGTCACCTGTTGATCTGTTCTCAGGAGCAGTAAGCATTCCCAGCCCCCTGGGCCCAGGCTCACAGAAGTTCCATCCTGACCCCACCTTGCACAGTTACCAAGGCAGGAAACCAGTTTTACTCTGGCCCTTGAAACCTCTACTCAGAAATGACATACAATGTTTCCCCTCATATTTCATTAACAAAAGCAAGTCACGTGGTATATTGGTTTCCTCTTGCTACATAAGAAATGACCCCAAACCTAGTGACCTAAAACAGCAGACATTTCTTATCACGCAGTTCTTCATATTTTTTTCTGTGGATCTGGAATACAGGAGCAGCTTCACTGGGCAGTTCTAGCTCAAGGTCTCTTATGAGGCTGCGGTCAAGGTGTTGCAAGGTGGCAACCTGGTCTTGGGTCATCCCAAGGCTCAACTTGGGGAGGATCCACTTCCAAGCTCACTGCCATGGGCCCACAGGAGGGGGCTACCTCACCGTGACACCCCTGAAGCAAACAACCCAAGAGAAGGTGAGAGAGAGCCCCTGAGGCAGGAGCCACCGTCTTTTTATAACCCAATCTCAGAAGTGACATCTCATTACTTCTGCTGTATTTTGTTTGTTAGAAGCTAGTCACTCGTTCAGGTTTACTATCGAAAGAGAAGGGATTATTACACAAGGACCGGAACACCAGGCAGCAGGGATTTTAGGGGACCATCTGGGTCATTGCCCACCATGTGCGGTCACATCTCTACCTTGTGTCTGAAAAGGAACACTATATTTACATGTAGTTTAGCATATAGCAAAGCTGTATTTCCTTTCTCTCTGAAAACAGAGGGTGAGAAGCCATTCCAGCCTTTGCTTCTCATGCCGATCTATCCTCAGGATCAATAAGAATTCTCAGTCCCCAGGTTCTCAATCCATCATCTCTTGACAGTGCTAAATTTACTAATTCACCCCAAAGAAATAATGTGGTTTTAAATCCAATCAAGTCGCTTTGTGATTCACTCCATTAATCCCACTGATATATTTACTTGTAGCTAATGATGTTACAGATTTCCAAGTGGAAAAAAAAATCAGAGGCAGCCTTATTTATTTATACTTTTAAAGTGCTGAGTCTGTTGAGAAGGTGATTGAGTGCTGGTGTTTTGTAGCCGTCGGCCGGCCCTTTGAACCCATTTCCTAGGGAGTGCGGTAAGGGGTGGGCTGGGAAGAGACAGGACATGTGAAGTGAGTCGGTTTCCATCTTGTTCGTATAAACAGGCCAACTTCCACCACTGCACCCAAGGCAGCACAAGACAGGGCCAGCAGAGGGGATAGAGAGGAGGCATACTCGTGATGCAATGGGGAAGCCACCTTGAAGGGTAGCAAAGTGGCCAGGTGGCATATTTTTCCCTCAGTGGTATCAGTGGTAGCCTTTGAACCAAAACCCTGTGAATGACCAGATTATCTGAGCTGGGAAGAGCCTCAGACATCATTCCTTTCCAACTGTTTCATTTTACAAATGAGGAAACTGAGTCACAGACAGGGGAAGGGATGTCCCCAATCCAAGGAATGTATCTCTATAAAACCCAGATCTCCTGAGCCTGCCTGTGAAGATTTCACTCACCAAACTCTCTTAGGAGAATGAAACGGCACCTTCTCTCAGTGCCCGCAATGACCAGCAGGTAGACAGATGGCTGGAGGGGGCTTAGCCCATCCACTCCCAGTTCCCTCCATTGGCTGAGGCTGTTCCTTCAGCCTGGAATGCTGTTTCCATCTTACTGCGTTCAGCATCTCTGTTTGCCCGTTAAGGCCCAGGGTGTAGCGGTGTGATCCATGGTTCCAGTCTCATTGGCTACTTGGTGCCTGCATGGATGTAAGGCAGGTGGGCTCTTTTCAGTCCCGTGTGGGCATCTCGCTGATGGCAGCCTTCCCCACCAAGTTGATAATGGAATTCTCTTTCTGTTTCTAAAGAATGCAAGGTGCATTGTCAGTTACGATCTTTGTCTGCGTCCTTCCCAGAGGCACCGTGAGGGTTGGTGCAGCTCTTTACCAGTAGAGGGCAGAAGAATATCATTTATCCTGTTTAGGGAGTCAGCCACAGAATTCTGTAGTTTCCAGCAGTTTTTATTGTTTCTAATCTTGTGACTGAAACTTGCCGCTTGTGGGTGGATTTGGGCTGTATTTGAGGAAGGGATTCTTAATTTCTTTAGGGCCTCCCCTATCTTTTCCTTGCTTTCCTAAAGCAGTACTCTTCTGTAGGGCTGTCCAGTGTATGGAAACATTACTGTAGGCATTAATAGATGAGAGCCACACACGGACACATATGTCTGAAGTCCCCACTGAGATTGGGGTCCAGGAAAAGCAGCAGCCTGAAATTTGTGGGGAAGCAGCAAGGCAGGTCCACAGAGGGCCCTTGTTATGGGGTAGATGGAGGAGAGAAGGTGGCATCCACCACATAGCCTGGTGCCCACATTGAGAGAATCCAGTGAGGAAGCCTGGTTGAAACTTGTGAGCAGATGCAGCTGGGGGTGCCAAGGAGGGCTGATTGTAGACATGGGCCAGCTCTGGGGTGAGAGCCCCCATAGGGCACCTTGCCTGGAGGTCCCAACTGGCTCCACTTAGACATGGGCTGCTTCTGCTACTGCCTTTCATCCGTGTTTGATCCCTACATGGTTCCCTTTGCTCCTCAGCTCAGGGAGAATAAATCTGTCCCCTGAGAGCTGGGGGAAGAAATGATGGTGCCTCCAGGATTTCTTTTTTAGGTTCTTTATTAAACTGAACCCCAGGTGAGAACAGGACCTTGAAGAAAAGAAGGACTTGGTAGCAGAATACATATCTAATCACTGCCTTGGCAAGCCTTAACTATGTGGGTTTATTACAAAAAGATTAGTAATACCAGCAGCCATGAATTGGTCACTTATTAAAGCTGTACATAGATTACCTCATTGGAGCCTCAGCACATTTTTATGGGAGTGTAGATCCTACTATTAGGTGAGGCATTATCATGCAATAGTTAAGAATTCGAGCACTGGAATCAGACTCCATTTGAATTCTGACTACCCCCCTTACATGTTCTGTGATCCTGGGGACATTACACACACATCCTGAGTCTGTGTGTGGGTGGCATGAGCTACTCATGCAAAGCATTTAGCACAATGCCTGGTGTATAGTAAGCACACAATAAATACTTATAATAAGAAGTCCGAGAGGTTAACAGTTTCCACAGCTAGGGATAGAGCAAGGATTCATTCCCAGGCCTGTCTGACCTCAAAGCCCCACTCTTAACAGAACAGCTGGCTTCCCTGAAACATCTCCAGGAATTTAGCCAGAAGGGGGCTCCCTTCCATGGACAAAGGCCTTGTTGAGATGACCTAGCCTCACCAGCACATCCGTGCAGACTTGTCCTGAGGCACACACGAGCAGGCCTGGCAGAAGGCTGCATGGCGTTGGCAGCTGGAACAAGATGTGGCCATCTGTTTGCTTCACAAGAAAGGTCAACAGGCTGAGAGCCTCCTGCTCCGCTGTCCTGAGGGCTGGCTGCTACTGCTAGATTCCTTCATTTTGGGCTAATTAGCCCAATGGCTGGGATTCTAGATGTTCAATGCCACCCTCCAGCCTTAGCCCCTTCCTGTCTTCATTTTCTAATTAGGTTTGTAATTTAATGATACTCTTAGAATTCTTGAGTCCCATAGCAAAAGTGTGGCAACATAGGTTAAACAAATAGGTAAATGAACTACAAAAAAAAAAAAAAAAAAAAAAAAAGGTCCATATGTCCCAGGAGTAAGAAGTAAATGTCGCCAATTTGCTTTGATCTGCTCTTCTCACAATCTCAGGTATCCTGATGAGTTTGTGGGTGGGTTGGTTGGTTAGTTTTAAACTGGTTTAACTGTATTTCCAGTGACTTTTCATTTGATCTTGGAAATGGGTGGAAATCTCAGTGAGCCCCCTAGTTCAGCTGACCCTTGGCAGAAAGAGTAAACAGCTGTCAACAACTCTCAACTTACCCAATACAAGCAACAAATAAGAACAACCCAAAAGTCAGACACAAAGAGTGGAAGGGTTAGAAAAATGGATCTCGTAAGGCTGGGCATAGTGGCTCTCACCTGTAATCCCAGCACTTTGGGAAGCCGAGGCAGGTGGATCACCTGAGGTCAGGAGTTTGAGACCAGACCAGCCAACATGGTGAAACCTGTCTCTACTAAAAATAAAAATTAGCCGGGCGTGATGGTAGGCACCTGTAATCCCAGCTACTTGGGAGGCTGACACAGGAGAATTGCTTGAACCTGGGAGGTGGAGGTTGCAGTAAACTGAGATCTCACCACTGCACTCCAGCCTGGGTAATAGAGTGAAACTCCATCTCCAAAAATAAATAAATAAATAAATAAATAAATAAATAAATAAGGGAAATGGATCTGGAAAAGGAGAAAAACCTTCTACGCCTATTGACACCTATGTCAAGACAAGTCCAAGGTGTGCCTGGCTTCATGACAGACATTTCCATCATGGTACACCCAGTGTATGGTTCTCTTTGTTCCACTCTGCAACCCTTTTCTCCTGTCACCTTTACCAGACTTCCCTCAGAATGAAATGGCATCTGTTCTCATTGTCTGAAATGACCACGGGGTAGATTAGTGGCTTGATGAGGGAGTTGAGCCTATTCACTTAGAGTCCCCTGAGTGTGCCACACCTTGGCTCAGCCTGTTCCCTCAGCCTGAGATACTGTCTCTACCTCATTTTATTCAACATCTTTCTTCATCCATGTGTTTAGTTTTGTTGGCAATTGAATGTATCTAAGTAAATGAGACAGATTGGTGCTTTCAGTTTTGTTCTGGGCATCTTACTGAAAGCAGCCCTTGCCAGAAGGCTGAAACTGCAGCCGTTTTTTTAAAGTTAAGACACTAACTAGAACCAAATAGAGAAGTAAAGAGGATTTCAAGTCTTCCTCCCTACCTTTACCTAAAACAATACTTTGCTATGTCAAGCCTGCCTGAGACGGCTGTTCTTATAGAACATGGATTTTTATTTCCTAAACCTTTTGTACTAGTCAGGGTAGACTAGGTTATGTTGCAGTAACAAACAGCTCCCAAATCTCAGCAGCTTAGAATACTAAATGGTTCTTTCTTCTTTGTGCTAGATCCAATGCAGATCAACATGAACATTTCGTTTATTGTAGCCTATCAGATACTATCTTAGGAGGAAAGAGGGGTTGGAGTCATGCACCAGCTCATACACACTTCCACCCAGAAATGATACATAACCCCCTTGCTCACATTTCATAGGCAAATCTCTGTGGCTTATGGTTACACCTAACTTCACAGAGTGAGGAGGTGTCATCCTCCTTGACATCAGAGGTGGAGGACACTAATAACATCTACCACACTGTCCTCTTCCAGCCACACAGAGAACTCTCCCTCAATATCTCTAGTACTGAAACAGTATCTGTAGAGCATTGACAGATGATTGCCAGCAGGTGGAGGGAGATTTTTCACCATAACTAGCCAAAATGCCTCACCATAACTAGCCAAAATGCCTTGTTAGCTGGGCACAGTGGTTCACACCTGTAATCCCAGCACTTTGGGAGGCCAATGTGGGTGGATCACCTGAAGTCAGGAGTTCATAGACCAGCCTGGCCAACATGGTGTGAAACCCCATCTCTACCAAAAGTACAAAAATTAGCCAGGCATGGTGGTGGGCGCCTGTAATCTCAGTACTCGAGAGGCTGAGGCAGGAGAATCACCTCCACAGGAGGTGGAGGTTTTGGTGAGCTGAGATCACGCCACTGCACTCCAGCCTGGGCGATAGAGCAAGAATCCGCCTCAAAAAAAAAAAAAAAAGAAAAGAAAAGAAAAGAAAAACTAGTGTTTGTTATAGAGATGGACAGAGGTAAGACATTTTTCAGACAGGTCCAACCATTAGTTGTCTTTCCTAGATCAAAGTCACCAAGCCTCCCCCCGCCCTCAGGGCAGCACACTCTACAGCTGAGCGGTTTCCCTCTGCATGTTATTTCTGTGTCTGCCACAGTGCTCCGGATAATTGAAATGGAGGAAAAAATCAATACTTCCCAAAATAGTCAGTGATGAGTGTCTGGGATCTACAGAATGCTGCTGTACGCCACCTTCACGCAGGCCCCGTCTCTTGTCCTTGCCCAGGTGGCAGGTGGGCTTTGGTTCTGACACAGGTGACGTGCCCTTCCCCATCTTTCAAACTGAGCCAGTGTTGGCTTTCCTCACACATACACATACCTACATACCTACAGGGAGCAAGTTGACACGTTCACACAAACCGTCACCTCCCCCATCACTGTCCCTCTCCCTGGGATGTTTTCTCACACATAGAACAACAGAGTCACTAAATTCCTAACTAAAATATGACTTTTCTAATTTTGTTCCCCCAAACAACTGCTAGGATTTCTCTCTCTTTACCCGCTCACATCTGCCAGCTTTTCAATTCCCCCTTTATGGAGCCTGGAGACAATGGAGGAAATACTTCAGCTCCCTTTTGCTGTCTTCTGTTTTCATTCATTGCTTGGCAGAAGGGGAAGAAACACAGTAAGTGACTAGTGAAAACATTCCTGTTCAGCTACCAGAGGCAATATCACTTCCTTGTGTCTTCCCTCATTTGCATAAAGATGCTTTCAAGATCACCTTGTGTTTTCCCATGCCGTACCTTTTAAAAAGATCCCTATTTTGAGATTCGCATTTATATACATATATGTACATAAAAGTGAAGATAACAAGATCTACTCTCTATATAAAGAGCCTACTCTGCATCAGGTGATTCTTGCTCATTGCCTGTCATCCTTGCAACCACTCTAGGTTGAAGCTGTCTTCATTTTGCAAATGATGCAGCTAAGACTCAAGGAGGGTAAGTATCCTGCCCAGTATCACATGCTAGTAAGTGGCAGAGCTGGGATTCGCAAGTAATCTGCCCAGTATCACGTGCTAGTAAGTGGCAGAGATGGGATTTGACCCCAAGTTCTCAAAGCTTACACTGTCCCCTCTCCAGCTTGTAACTATGCAGAAACATCTGGTCCATCGTAGTGCTGTTATTGCTGCTGAGTATATGTCAGCGTCTCCAGGACAGTGACTAACCAGTGTTCTAAAGGCCACTTGCTACCTGCTGGAAGAGCTGGCGGCCTTAGGCTCATGGCACAAAGAGCAGGAATTGATCATTCACCTCAGGCCCTATAGGGAGCCCAAAACAAAGTCCAGACATTGAAGGGGGCAGTGGAACAGAAAGGTGAGAGTGTGGACCTTGGCGTGTGTATACCTGTGTTCCGTCCTTCAGCCCCGTGAACCTGGGCAAGGAACCTAACCTTTCTAAGCCTCAGTTTCTCCATCTATAGAAAATAGAGATAATAAAAGTCCTGCCTTGTAGAGTTATGGGGAAGGCTGGCTGGAACAGTTAAGAATGTGCTCTGCATAATGCCTGGTGCAGAGGAAACCCTCAATAAATGATGACTGGCATTATCATTAATGCTAGCTGAGGAGTCTTCAGGGAGAGCATTTTATGAATGCTGAAGTGTTCATCTGGCGTCTGCGGTCATTACTCTTCCCAGAGCTGTCCATCCATCTGGTCCAGGCCTGCAACCCTGTTGGTCCTACTTCATACACCATTGCCCAGATCTCCCCAATTCTCCTTCCGTGTTCCAGGGGCATGGTTTGTTATCAAAGAGACATTTCTAAGCAGCTCGCCTGGGAGCCGTGCTGTGCAAGGCAGTTGTAAAGAGAGAGAAAGAAAAAAACTGTACCAAAGGGTAAGCTGAAGTTTATGTTCTTGTGACTTAGCTGGCAAAATCAAAGAAATAGTGGTACAGGGCCACCAAACCACATGCATAGCACCTTTAAGCACATGAGGCGGCTGCAAAGCTTTGTATTAGAGAGCTGGTGCCAAGCCACAGGCCACCAACAAGGTTGGCATTAACCTCTCCACTAGTAGCATGGAAACAAAGGACCCTCACCATAAATAACAGGCTACCATCATCTGGATGCCCCAGCATGTGCCAGGTACTCTTCTGAGCATTTTATGTCTGGTGTGGTCATTTAATCTTCCCACTAAGTACTACCATCATCATAGATGTTATATAGATCAGTAAACTGAGGCATAGAGAGTTCAAACCACTGGCCTAGGATCACACAGAGAGCAAGGGGTAGGACTTCAACCCAGGCAGCCTGGCTTCAGAGGCCATACTGTAAAACCCTATTGTGTGCCTCCGCTTACGAGCTGTGAACCTAATTTAAGACAGTGAGTGGGGCTTTGAGTGGGATCTCATATGAGCTGCTTTTTGGAAGCCAAGAGTGAATATACCTGATGAAAATCTACCTCTGAACAATAAACACTCCCTTGTGTTTCTTTGAGCACACCTTGGCAGCTCTGCCAAGCCAGTCAGTTTTAGCCTAAATTCAGAGAATGTCTGGCTTCTCACTGTTTTTGTTTAGACTGATATAAACACAGGGTAGACAAGAAAATTAAGGAGGGAATGTGATCAGCCTTCGGCTTTGAGAGAAACAGAACCGCTGATGTGCAACAATAGGCTTCGTAGCCTGGCAGCCACTGTTCCCAACCCCAGGTCATTTCTAGAGCCTTTGCCCTCTCTATTCAACTGAGTCAGATTCTCAGTAAAATCCCCAGTGGTGCAGCCTTCTTTTCTCCACTAAGCTGTGCTCTTTCCATTTGCAGGTAACCTGGACATCACTCCGGATGACCCCCGCTGGATCGGAGCCTGGTGGGGTGGCTTTCTGCTCTGCGGTGCCTTACTCTTCTTCTCTTCCCTCTTGATGTTTGGGTTTCCACAGTCCCTGCCCCCGCACTCAGACCCCGCCATGGAAAGCGAGCAGGCCATGCTCCCCGAAAGAGAATACGAGAGGCCCAAGCCCAGCAATGGGGTCCTGAGGCACCCCCTGGAGCCAGACAGCAGTGCCTCCTGTTTCCAGCAGCTGAGAGGTAAAGGTGGCCTCGTCTGCCTCTACTCAGAACAGTAGGGGGATTGGGATGGGGGTGATGAGTGAAGGGGTGGCACCCAGGACTGGGGTGCTTGGGGACTTGGTGGAGACAGAATAATATTGGCCTGCATCGCTGGCCTCTACCAACCAGGTACTTAACTTATTCCTGAGAAGTAAATAACCTGACTTGCTTAATAAAAACAAAAATGAAGTAGCTACCATTTGTTAAAGGGACCCAGTGGTTAATATAGGACCTGACATTTAATAAATGTAAATGTCTTTAGAAGGAAGCAAAATATTCTGTGAAGCTTTTTTGAATTCTTTCAGGCCACCTACAAGCCCCTGGAAGCAATAAAGGACTTTTGAAGTTGGCTTCCTTTGCCTGATATCAGCATTCTTTAAAAAGCCACCTCCAGCCTGGCGCGATGGCTCACGCCTATAATCCCAGCCCTTTGGGAAGCCAAGGCAGGTGAACCACTTGAGGTCAGGAGTCTGAGACTAGCCTGCCCACCATGGTGAAACCCCATCTCTACTAAAATACAAAAATTAGCCGGGGTTGGTGGCATGTGCCTGTAATCCCAGCTACTCGGGAGGCTGAGGCAGGAGAATCACTTGGTCCTGGGTTCAAGCTCACCAGAGGTTGCAGTGAGCCGAGATTGCACCACTGCACTCCAGCCTGGGTGACAGAGCGAGACTCTATCTCTAAATAAATAAATAAAGCCAACTCCAAAGTACATTTCTGTAGATTCACTTTGTCCTTTCATTGCCTCCACTAAAGATGAGAGATGTTTTCCTGAAGAAAGAAATATTAACCCAGTCTTAATGACACAGTCACACTTTAGAATGCAGCAAAGCTCTTGCTATCATTTTTTAAAGAAAAATGTGCAACTTTTCTGAAAAAATGGTGAAGCACAAACAGTGATGCAGAATGAGAATGAGAGCCCCCCCACCCCCCAAGTTGTTTCCATCTTCAGCACAATCCTTTAAAGATGAGGAAAATGACGAGGAGCTCAATGTAGCCTGGCAGTCTCAGAAGCTGCTCAGCGACCATCAGGCGAGGTATGTGTGGGGTTCCTTAATGCACACGACTCCTTACTCAGCTCCCCTGAAGTCCTGCTGGATTTTAGAAATGAGTGGGCTCATGCAGCCAGGAGCAAGGTGAGGCACTACTTCCCAGGGAAGCTGGGATGCAGAAGGGAGATGGCCAGTCCCCTCTGTGCAGAAATGAGGCACTCAGCCGGATCAGACTTCCGCAGTGGCACATGCAGTCCTCCTGTGCTTTAGACATTTCCTAGCAGTCAAAGTCTGTTTACTAAACTTCTGTGTAACAACGTGTGCCTTCTATGGAGATGCTAGACATTCGTGGAGAGAAGCTTGAACTGCTTTGTGCTCAGCCCCCTGTTCTGTTCCTCACCAGCCCTGCAATCATTAACTCCCCCCTGCTTCTTTTCCACGAATGTAAAACTGTAATAACACAATTCCTCACTGCCAGTGCTGTCTCGAAAATGAAAGCACTGCTACAGAAGACTGTCTGTTAATCGTACCTGTTAGTCCATGAGGAATCTGAAGAACTTGTGTTATTTCTGAAGAGAGACAATTTTAATATCCTAATGTGATGTCTGGCCCCGTGTTCCACAATGGTTTCTACCAATGCTGTAATTTGGAATCATCCATAAAATTTAAGTTCCAGAATGCATTGGTAGATGAGAAGGCCAGCCAATCTGTGTCCTCTAGGGTTGCCTTGGCTTGGAATGCCCCCGTCCCCATGCATGTGTGCTTAATAAAATAGGCTCACTTCCAGCAGCCCCTAGACAAGGAAGGTGCCTGCGACTCCCCTAATAGTAGGAGAGTGATGCCTGCGACTCCCCTAATAGAACAGCCATCCATAGAAAGTGTCCTGGTAACTAGACCCCTAGGAATAAATTGGGCAGGTATGAAAGTGTGGCTTTCAAAGGACATCCTGGCCCTGCGTGACTACAGCATTTCCAAGTCGCTCCCCATCTCAGGATAATGACCCTGTTTCCCAAGGGCTCTGATTGTAAAAGCTGCACTAGTAATCACTTATCTTTCATCTCTGGGAATAAAAAGATGAAAAAGATATAATGATGCCATCAGAGAACTCACCATCCCACATAGGATCAGGCCTGTAAGTCAGCAAAGGCAGCCCAGTGTTTTGAGAACCGCAATAACAAGCAATACAGGTGGTTACAGAAATGCAGCAAAGAGACAGAGAGAAGCCCACCGCTCCTGGGCCATGAGTTGCGGGTGAGGGAAGGGTCAGCGGCAGAGCTGAGCCGAGTCTTGAGGCCTACCATGGCTTCAGCATTCTTGGGTCATGATTCAGTTGCTCGTTAACTCATTTGTTTTATCCATTGGTAGTTACTGAGACCCTACTAGATGCTGAGCACAGCCTAGACTAAAGCGATTTATATTCTGGAGCTTATATTCTCCTAGGTTGCAATAGGCAAGGTCAAAGCAATGACAAGATAAGCAGGCACTCTGGGTGAGCTGCCGTTGTGCTGACAAGTACACAGTCAGGTAGACGAGTCTGGGACCTGCGAGGCCATATTGATTACAAATTGTAATCTGTATACACACAGGCTTCGCTTCTGATGGTTACTGATTTTAATTTAGAATTAACAATTCCCAGATGCAATTGGTCCATAATGGACTAACATGATGTCCCAACAGGAAAGGAAGAAAGTGTTTCTACAAGACTCCTTAAGAGCCAAAATACAGTGAAGTGAGCTATTATGCTAATAAACACATTTTATACGTGCCAGTGCATGAAGTGGGGCCACAGTCGTTTACATGATTTATTTCTCCATGTGAGACACATGTTTTTGCTATATGAGCTTTTCCACCAAAAGCACCATGCAGTGCTCCCTGGCATTCCAAAACCCTTCATCCAATTTGCATCCTGGGAAACCCACGCTTCAAATGCAGTGCTATACATGCAGTGTGTTACACATTTGTGGATGTAAATAAGCTGAACAGCATTGCATGTATACATAGAATTGACATTGCTCCTAAAACCTCTATGTTGCAATTTCTTATCCATTTTGTCTGAGCTTGCAAATGTGTTTCTTCTTTGGCCATCAATCTGTGTCCCCTGCTGTGCTCTGCAGACAGCAAAGGCCCCTGAGAAGAGCTGGCATTGCGCCAAGAAGAGCCCTTCCAGCCCCTCTTCTCTGGAACTTAGAGAGTCTTCCCCTGCTCCTGGGAGAAAATGGGGCTCTCTGCTTTGAGGCAGACCCACCTGGGTTAAAATCCAGCTCAGTCACTTCTTTTTTTTTTTTTTTTTTGAGACGGAGTCTCGCTCTGTCACCCAGGCTGGAGTGCAGTGGCCGTATCTCAGCTCACTGGAAGCTCCGCCTCCCGGGTTTACGCCATTCTCCTGCCTCAGCCTCCCGAGTAGCTGGGACTACAGGCACCTGCCACCACATCTGGCTAATTTTTTATGTGTTTAGTAGAGATGGGGTTTCACTGTGTTAGCCAGGATGGTCTCGATCTCCGGACCTCGTGATCCGCCCGTCTCGGCCTCCCGAAGTGCTGGGATTACAGGCTTGAGCCACCGCGCCCAGCCTGCTCAGTCACTTCTTAATCATGCAGGCTTGGCCACATCACTTAACTCCTCTCAGCTTTCACATGTGGTGTCTGGTTTAGTCTTTACCAGAACTGTGTAAGGTCAATATCACTGTTTATTCCTGTCTATAGGTGAAGAAACCAAGCTCTGGTGATATGGGGGTTAGAGTCTGTGGTTCGATTTTCAGAGCATTCCCCTAGAAAAAGCGGGCTTCAGACGTCTGCTTCCAACAGTCAGCCATCAATTGGGTTTGCAACCCTTATCCAAAGCTAAGAAATGGAAAGCCCATAGTCTTGCTCCAGGTCAGCCTGGAAGTCTCCATCTTATAGCAACAGCCCCATAACCATCTTACCATGCAGAAAGCAGATGAACAAATACTTGGGTTTGTTACACTCCAGTATGTCCCCGATATGGGGGCCTGCCAAGCCAAGGCACATTTTTACTTCTCAGCTGTGCCACCAAATAACTTTTCCTTTAAGACGTGGCTCTGGCTCTGCTCCTCCCTGATCTTGCATTTTGGATGGCCTGTTTTTTACACACCTCACGTTCATCCTCTTGTGTCCTGTCCTCCCCTTTCCTACTTGGTAAGCTGTGTGTGGACAAGGCTGCACCTAGTGTGCTGAATCTAGCAAATGCTCAGAGTTTGCAGAATTGCTTATGAGAGGCTACACCTGGAGGGAAGAAGTTCAGGGACTGTAATAGACAAATGTACAGTATCACCATCAGATAGTGTATTAAATATCACCTCCACAGTTCTGTGCTTCATTGTAAGTTGTCTCCGGCATCTCTTGCCCTGAGAGGCCTTGATGGACGTGACAAGGGTCTCTTCTGCAGCCGCATATCCATGTGCCTTCTCCCTCCAGCTCTGTACATTTCCTGGAATGCATCAGGCAATCTCTTGTTTGCTGCTGTTTCTCCCTGGAATGCCCTTCTTTCTTCAGTTCACTTCTGGGCTGGACTCTGTTCTCACCTCCCCAGGAAGCCCCCCAGAGCCCCTCTGCGTACATGCCCCTGTGTACCCAGTGCTGGGTTAGCTGCGTTCCTCTGAGGTCCCCGGAATCCCTGCAGAGCACCTGTGAACACATTACCATGGCAGTCTCTCTGCTTGTCTGTGTCTGCCCAAAGATTATGCATTTTCCAGGGATGAAGCTGTAGTTCATCTGTTCATTTCCAATGCACAGAACAGTGCATAGCGTGTAGGTGATACTGGTTGAATGAAGTAATAAGTGAATACTTTCTTGCCAGCCTGCATGTATGTATAGACGTGGACACATGCACAAATAGCAGGTAATGATTTTTTTTGTGCACTGTTGTATTTCATCCCTGTACCTTAGGAGGCATTGGTACCACTTACCAATAAGGAAAGTGAGGCTTGTAGATAGAAAGGAAAGGCATTTGAACCCGGGCGAAGGCTC